TGGAGCTGTTCCTAGTCGGCCATCTTCGATTCTGTTATATTTCATAAATACTGTTTGTATTTACAAGTGATGGAAATTTTTCCTGTTCCTATATGACATTTATATTTTAATGTCTCAATTCTTATCTTTATATAGGGGACAGAAACCTCTATAGCTTTTTAAGAGACACAATGAAAATGGACTCTTTGTGTATAATGTGAAGTTGGCCCTGATTATGTAACAGGAACACTTCCAATATGTCACCATTGAAAATGTTGCCATTTTAAGTGTCTAGTAAATACTTTGTGTCAAGGTAAAAAAGTTTCCTCTTTTTTTCTAGTTATCTAACATTGTTTTCATTATGAAAGTGTGCTGCACTTTATCAGATGAATTTTCAGCATTTTCTTTAGTCTGTTAACATCAAGGCAAGAGTGTCAAGCAAGTAGTACTGGCATCCAGAGGATGCCACTGAGCATAAGAGGCTCTAAGTTCTTCATTATTTGAGTTTGGAGAAATGCCCCAGGGACTCCACCATAGGCCCTGCAAGGAGTGGGCTGTTCAGCAGAAGTAGTTTAATAAGCCCCATTTCCTTGTCAGTAAAAGGAGGCCTGGAGAGAATTGAAGGTTGCTGACCCACCTTGGGTGACATCTGTGCTCTCACAGTGGAAATCATCCCTTCCTGTCCTCTACTTTTGGGGTATAGGACGCGACTGTCTTAAGCCCCTCCTAATCTTTGTGAGTAGGGATGCTCAAGTTACCTCACCATCTCTGATTAAGTCATGTAAGGAAGGGATGGGTAATCATTTCCTCTTGTAAAATTCTGACATTTGGAACCAGCAGATGGACTGATTTTATGGAGCATGGGGAGAAGAAGAGGAAGGACAAAGCTGTGAGCAGGAGTGTTTTGGGGCAATGTGGATTGCAACACCGTGGATTGAGTTTCCTAGGGGCCTATGTGAATGCCAGTATCACAGAAGCTGCCTGGGGTTCACACCCTACTCATGAGCAAGTTGCTTCCTGAAACTCAGGGACCCCAGCAACAAGACATTATGGACTGAAATGTGTACTGGTGCAAAGGTGAGGGTAAGGGACATGCAGCTAGAGGCAATCATAGAGTCTCTTTCCTGAAGAACCAGCTGCTGAAAGGAACTGTCATTTGTAATTAGTCACACAACCAGTCAGTGTGGGCTGAGAGGCAGTAGTGTACCTGCTAACATGTGGTTCCTCCTGTGAGCAGGTATTGCCCACCATTGGCACCAACAGCATTCTCTCTACCCTCTGCACATGCAAAGAAATAAGACAGTAGGCCACTGCCCAACCTTTCACTTCAAGTAGCAACAGCTTCAAGCTGAGCTACCACTCTATGGCCTGAGTGGTGAAATGACAAAACTGGAGGACAATGTCATTTGTTTGGACTGTGTTTGAAATCAACCCTAGAAAGTTTGCATTACAGGAGTCTGGGAAACAATGTATGAAGAATTTTCAGACCATGTATTAGTTTTGGGAACAGGCTTCAAGCTTCAAGATTGCGTGGATCTGAATTAGGCTCTTAATAAAACCTGCTCTTTATTAAACTAGTGATTTGCATTGATTTACTTTTTGATGTTGAGCCATCCTTGCATTCCTTGGATATACCCTACTCGGTCTGATGCTATATAGGCTCATCACATATCCTATAGGGTAGGCACTATACTAGTTAAACTTATTAACCCTATTTTATAGGTGCTATTATTTTCCCCTATTTACAAATAAGAATGTCAAGGGATGTAGAGGTTACAGTGATTTTCCAAATATTATGCAGCTAGTTCATGGGCTAATGAATGTAGGAAGTCAGATTCCAGAGACTGCTATTAACCATGAATACAGGGCTGAACTCTAATAGTTATTTTTTAAACTATGTTTTTGCCTCTCTGCTTATAAATTAGATTTTCTAAAAGTTTCCTTCTTTTGTTCAATCCTTATCCATTCTGAATTATATGTTCAGCTAATCATCTCAGCTAAGTAGTTTTTTAGATATAAACCATTTCTGTACGAGAGTAGTCTCTTCTCTGAAGATTTTATACAACTCACCTTAAAACCATTTTGTTGATGGAGGGATGGTTGTTAATTTTTGACTTCCATTTCTATATTTTATGATTAGTCATATATCAATTACTCTGATATATCAGTCATTCTCGGGCCAACTTAAATAATTCTAAACTTTCTTATAATATTATATATTTTACCTAATTTTCCAATGTGTTGCTATAAAATTAACTGTACATAGTGTGATTTTATAACGTCAGGACCATCTGTCCTAGTATAATAATCCCTTTTCTTCCTGATTTGTTCATTGTTGTTTGTTTGCTTGTTTGTTTGAGATGGAGTCTCCCTTTATTGTCCAGGCTGGAGTGCAGTGGCACGTACTCAGCTCACTGCAACCTCTGCCTCCCGGATTCAAGTGATTCACCTGCCTCAGCCTCCCAAGTAGCTGAGATTACAGGCATGCACCACCACGTCCAATTAATTTTTGTATTTTTAGTAGAGATGGGGTTTTACCATGTGTGTCAGGCTGGTCTTGAACTCCTGACCTCAGGTGACCCACCTGCCTCGGCCTCCCAAAGTGCTGGGATTACAGGCGTGAGCCACTGCTCCTGGGCTGGTTTGTTAATTCCTTGTACCTTTTCTATCAATCATTGATATTGTATCAGTCAGCTAACACAACAGTAAATTTCCCTCTCAAGGGCTTACAACAGTAAACGGTTTATTTCCTGCTCTGGATCTTCCAGTTTGTTGAGCTTTGGCTGATTTCAGCTGAGTGGGCTTGGACTCAGCAGCAGTCGGCTGGACAGACTTTCAGGTGAGTTCATGACTGTTCCATATCACTTTCCAGGGATGCATACTTCCCATGATTGGGAAAGAAACACAAAGGCCATAGCAAACCTGTAAGCACTCGTTAAGCTGCTGCTCCCTTCGTCTCAGCTCAGGGTCACATGGCCACACCAAACAGCAAAGGGGCTGGAGTGTTTACTCCTCACACTCTAGTGGGAGCCTTTGTGAAGTCCTATGGCAAAGGGCCTAAGATGTAATTTTACAACAAGGAGGAAACAACTCAAAACTACTACAGCCATATTTGCTAAGTTTATATCTCTGACAAAGAACAAGTATTTTATTTTATTAGCACTATAGTTATTTTTAATTCAAGTTTATTAATTTAATTATATAATTTTCATTTATTCCTTCATTATACCCTCTTTTGAAGTGCATATTAATTTATCTGTCATGTAGGGTCCACATTCCTTGGAGGACTATTTCTGAGGCTTGTCATTTCTATCAGCTCTCACTCTGCTTATCCCCTACTGTATTTGATAATTGTCCCACCATGAACTCAAATCTGCCTGGCCTCCATCTGAGACACCACTGAGGTGCCTGGGCTGTGGTATCTCCACTGCATTTAAGTCTCCTCAGTGCAGGAGATCATGCCACGCTGAGACACTGGAAACACAATTTTTCATCTTGGCATAAATAGCAAAATTCAGTAATAGTCGTAAGAACAGCATAAATTCACTTCCGAGTCTATGAGAAGACAGACCTATGGGTACACATCCTTGGGGGAGAAACTCGTCCCCTCCAGAATCCAGGTTTTCTCAGGTTCCTTTGCTCCTAGGTATATTTACCTTCTGCTTACCCTCTCCCCACTCAAAACCACCCTTTCTCTAAGTCTGTAGCACAGTTAGGATCCTGACTCAATGCAAATCTGTCAGTTTCACATTCCCACCTTCCTGGGAGGTCTGCCTATTTGCTAAACGAATCGAAAGTCCTTTGTCCTCTGGGCCTATGGGCCCCTCAGCATTGTGTCAATGGCATCAGGAGACACAGCCTTGAGAGGGATCTTATTTACCATTGAAGCACCTCTTGATGCCTGGAAGGCCCCCTGAATGGGAACCAGAGGGCCGCTGGACAGGGCCTGATGACATGAGTACACAAGGATGAGGACCCTTGAGAAGCCAAAACTCCCATCACAAGGCAGAGTCACAGGGAAGTGACCCACCCCACTCACTACCTGGGAAAAACAAACCTCTCAAGCTGTTTGGTGACATGAAGTGTTTCAAAGAATGGGTGTGAGTTTGGAGGAAAGCAAGCATTAAAGCTCACATCCGGGATCTGGGCAGCTTGACTAGGCTCTGGTGACAAGAACTGGACGCTTCTGGAAACTCAGGCCTGGACGAGCACTGACGATCTGGTGTCTGCTCGAGGTCTCTACCTGTCTTCTCTCCCTCGCACCCAATCCTCCTGTGTGCCCAGCCCTGGTTTGCACCCTGGGGACAGAGATGTGAACTGAGAATAGAAAAGTGAGGTCACTGGTAAAGGGGGCACAGATGGTAGCTCCAGCCAGAGAGAAGAGGGCTGATTTGAGGACACGCTGCTGGAGGATTCATTTGTTCCATAAATGTTTATTGAGCATTGACTCTGTTTCCAGGCACTCTTCTTGGTGGAGAAACAACAGCTGGAGAACAAGACCCCTGTTCTCATGAGCTTCTCATTCTACAGGAGTGGGGTGGGTGATCAATCGATATGCAACCAAATAAACAAAACAGTCCCACGTGGAAGCTATAATTGGCAGAAAATTAGAACAGAGAATTACAACTGAGTGACTACTTAAAATTACAGGGTTAGCAAAGACCTTTCTCCTGAGATAATATTTAAGCTGAAAGCTGAGTGACAACAAATAAGCAGGCAGAGATGCAGGGAAATGTCCAGGCAGAGGGAGCAGCAGGTGCCAATGCCCACATTCAGCTGTGGATTGAAGTCATCTGCAAATACCCCTTCTTGTGCCTGGTCTGGTGAGATGTCCAAACAAGACATTTGACAAAGGTTCTAAACGAGAAGAGATGAAGGATGTGACTCAGTGCTGGGGGTTTTCAGTCTCTCCACCCTGGCCCTGCAATGAACAAAACACAAATGGAAGTAGTCAATTGTACGCATGCATGTGTGTGTGTTCGTGTGTGTGTGTGTGCATGTGTTTGTCTGGTGGAAGATCTATGCATGCTTTTTCTGGAAATAAATATTTGGAGAAAGCTACCCTGAGAACCTGTGACTCTGGAGGCTCAGAGGTGCTTAGCTGTGGAGACAAATGCCTGGGAGGGAGAAGTGCAGGATGGGGTGAGGGCACTAATGTAAAGAGCTGCCTAGCACTGTGCTGGAGACCCAATGGCATCCCAGGCAGAGATGGGTGAGATGGACCCAATGGGGAGAAGGGAGATCCAGGTCCGACCTGTGTCTTTCTGAATCTCCACCTCCAGCAGGCATCTCCTCCACATGAGGGTTCGAGCACAGACTTGGGGAGGCTCCCGTTTCATCAGGACCCAAGCTACACTCAGAACAATCCCTGTAAAATGCCATTGTCTCCAAAACAAAGCTGCTTGCTGACTCTCTGGGATCCCATATTTCCACACAGGAATTAGGGATGTGTGGTTGTCCCTACAGAGGGGTGTCCCGCCTGATTAGGGAGCTGGCCTTGGTGCAGGCCCTCCCCTGGGATGCAGGAGTCGGGGGTCTTTTTTCTTTGGGTCACCATTAGCTCGCTGGCTGTTCCGGGGGTGAACATGAATGGAGTATTGAGATTTTTGGGAAAAAAATGAGTGACAGCCACTGGGTCACTTTGTCAAGGGTTCAGAGGTTTGCAGGGCCTTCCTGGGAAGTTGGGACTCCCAGGAAACACAGGGGCTCCTGGAATTCCAGGACCAAGGGGCCAAAAAGGAGATCGTTGGGACAATTCAGGTAAGGGGCGTACCTCAGCAGGGTGGCCTGAGGGTCCCAGGTCCAGGGGAGCTGGAGGGCCGCTGGAAGGTCCCCTTCTCTTGCTTCTCCTGCTGCCTCATGGGAAGATGCTCAATTCTGCGTCCTGGCCCAGCACCGCCAGCCCTCTCAGCTTTACTTGGGGCCTGAGGGGACTCCCATAGGTGCCCAGATGCAGACGTTCAAGCCATGTAGGGCCATTCCCTTGTCAGGCCCCTTAGCAGATGGGCCCTGGCTTTTCTTCAGTGGAAACAGTCCAGTGTGCACCTCCGGGGTGCCAGGGAGGAAATAGGCCCTTTAGGGGTTGGGTTTATGTCCATTGTCACAAGAGTGGCATGAAAACGTTCTGCCTCTTAGGACCCCTGGGTGACAGGGAACATCACAGCAACTTAGTTCAGAGAAAAATGGAGCAAACTCAGTAAGAACAAAAGAACAATGACAACCTACTTATTCATATTTGTCTACCAGCCTGTCAAAACAATAAACGTATTAAAAAGTGTATCTGGAATGAGAAATGAAAATGAATGACAAAGAAAAGTTTTCAGGCCGGATGCAGTGGCTCACGCCTGTAATCCCAACACTCTGGGAGGCCAAGGCGGGCGGATCATGAGGTCAGGAGATTGAGACTACCCTGGTTATCACGGTGAAACCCCATCTCTACTGAAAATACAAAAAATTAGGCCGGGCGCCGTGGCTCACGCCTGTAATCCCAGCACTCTGGGAGGCCGAGGCAGGCGGATCACGAGGTCAGAAGATTGAGAGCATCCTGACTAACACGGTGAAATCCCGTCTCTACTAAAAATACAAAAAATTAACGGGCGTGTGGCGGGCGCCTGTAGTCCCAGCTACTCAGGAGGCTGAGGCAGGAGAACGGCGTGAACCCGAGAGGCGGAGCTTGCATTGAGCCGAGATTGAGCCACTGCACTCCAGCCTGGGCGACAGAACACGACTCCGCCTCAAAAAAAAAAAAAAGAAAAGAAAAGAAAAGTTTTCAGAAAGAAGAGTAATGAGTTGAGTATTTTCTTATGAATTCTTACAATATGACAATATGCAAGCTGTATGTGGAGACAGAGGTCCAGGCCTGAAGTTCCAGGTTATGAAGGGATGCAGAGGTATAGCTGGGAAGCAGGAATGTAGTCATTTTTCCCCTTTTATTTCTTTTGCTTTCTTATTTTTCTGGAATAAGCGTTCTTCTTAGTAAGCCACTTTGGTTTTTTTCAAAATGCTCCACTCTCCAACTTAAGGTCTTCTCCATAAATACCTTCTCCCTGTTGCTTTGCAGTTGCTGAGGCTAAGCTGGCCAACTTAGAGAGACAGCTACAGAGCCTGAGAGCAGAACTGGACCACATGAAGAAGCGTGAGCTTTCTCTCTGCCCATAATGTGTTCTTGGTTCTCA